CGCGAGGATCAACGAGACAAGGAAGTCTTGGAAACTTGACGAACGAATCTGTACCCTCTGGTTATGACTAACATAGCCATGGAAAATAGATGGCCCATAGAAATAGATGGTTTACCTAGCTATAAAATGGTGATTGTCCATGGCTATGTTAAATAACCAGATGGTACTCGTAATGCTAGCAACAGCATTTAATTATTGAATGTGGTTGGATAAACTAAAAATTGGAGTTACATGGCAAACCCCATTTAGAATTTGGAATTTTATCATTGGGTTTCATAAATGGTTGTTTCCGTTTGGGTGGTTGATTAATATAGTAGGAAAGAGTGATTGTTCCCAGTAAACAACAAATAGGTACTGTAAACGATGATAAAATGAAATATGTCCAATCCGGTCCATCTATGTTTCCCAAAAGGACATCATTGTTTGGAATGCCGGCGGCAGTGTTATTAGATGTGGTGAAGGAAAACCACAAATATGGATTGATTAGATTGATGGTTAAAATCAAATAACAACCCCTATGTAATGTAGGGGTTTACCGTTGGCATTGGCTTTGCCACTTTGTATCAGGTCAATCTGGCTGCTGTTTTTTTTAAGAAATTTGAGCCATAACCATGGGACTCTGAGCCCCAATGTTGTGTCACATCATTTGAAACAATTTCCCATCAGTCACCAGAGTCACTAGTTGGGATGATGGTTTTAGACAGTGGCCCCAAGAGTAGATCCAAGAGACGCGAATTTTCATATCAATAGACAGGGATTCACATGTTTGAAACCTGTTATTTTGTAAAGCCCTTGTCCGGAAGAAACCGGAAAGTTTTCACAAGTTTCACATTCGCGCATTGCATTGGGTCATTGGCTCAACCAGGAATGGAAATCCTTAGAGCTCCTGGGGCGTCACTTGGCACGATGATTTGGTGATAATGTTTGGTGTGCCGGATGAGAAAAGTATGTTTTATTTTTTGTTTTTCTCTCTCTCTCTCTACATGTTTGTATCCCTTTGTATCCCATCATAGAAGTTGTATTGAATATATATTCTTATAGGACATATTAGGGGACCTAGTAGTGAGTAGTGAAAACGAACCGCAACATGTGTGTGCTGTGCAGCTCTAAGGCGATGTCCTCAGAGAGGAAGAATTGAAAAAGAAGGCCGTGGTGGAAGCAGCTTTCGAGAAGTCACCTGAAAAATTAGGGTGGACCAAGTCCTTGGGGGAAGAACATGGAAGAATTCCAAAATCTCAAGATTTTCCGCCTTGGACTTTTGGTGATGGAACTGATTAATTCATCAACCCGCAAAACAGCGCCACTAAACTACGAGGGATATGTATAATATAGAACTTATATGGTTCCCATATATGTTATAACTATAACAGTTGATTGGTGCTTGAGCTCACTGCCAATTTGAGGGATGGCAGGGGAATGAATGGGGATCTGGATAATGAGAAATTAGATAGGATTGAATCCAAGGGCAATGGCATATGATGGCATATGTCAGATTTTCACTCCCCAAGTCAAGCACATGTTTGTCAACATTCTTTGGTTGCTGGGCCCAGCTGTTCTCCCTGTCCTTCCAGTGCGTTTGTTTTTCTGCGACATAGCGACCACGTGGCACAATGTGGTGCCCCCTACTTATAAGTTGGGACATGTAAACCCAATTAAGTGGTCATTTCATCTCTCATCATAATCCCAACAGTTATTCCCATTTTTATTTCCACACACATATATATATATATTTATGTTCAATTATATTCCCACTTATATTTCCACTTATATTCCCGTTGATATTCCCATCCCATCCATATCATCATCAAGTATTTTTCATCACCAACCCCAACAGTTCTGGACCTGCATCGTTCCCAGGTCCAGTTGGCAGCGGAAGCACCTGGAGGAGCAGGGCATCGCACCGCAGCGCGTCTTGGAAGAGGCCCGGCACCTGGCGGAGAAGCAGCGGAAGGTCAAGGAGCACCGAGACGGCAATGGCACTGGGGAAACAAGCTGATTTTCCAGGAAATCCATCTCTTGGTCAAAGTGTACAGACTGTATAGATGTTTTTTGTTTTTTTTTGGGGGGGGGGCTTCATGGGGCTTCCTTAAGCAAATGCAAGGAGAGGTGCGAGTTATTTTTTTGCACAGTCTGACAGTTGTCATTTATATAGATTGTAGTTTCTTGGGGTATGTGTAGTTTCTTGGGATATGTTCATGTTCATCATCGTCATCGTCATCATCGTCATCATCGTCATCATCGTCATCGTCATCATCATCGTCATCATCATCATCATCATCATCATCATCCTCGTTGTCATCATCGTCATCATCATCATCATCATCCTCGTTGTCATCGTCATTGTCATCGTTATTGTCATCGTCATTGTCATCGTCATTATCATCATCATCCTCGTTGTCATCGTCATTGTCATCGTCATCATCATCATCGTCATCATCATCATCATTGTCCTCATCCTCATTGTCATCGTCATCGTCATCATCATCATCATCATAAGTATATGTCATTTTAAAGATACTGATAATTATATATACATATATATATAGATAGATATATCATTGTATGGCGCCATCAAAGCTGATTCATGATGCCATAAACAATGATACATATTTGGGACATTTAATTTTGTGTCATCAATGTTTTTTTACTTTTTTGGGGTCATGTTTTTTTTTGTCATGAGGACACTTTGTATCCGCAGGCTGTATTGGAGTGACAGCCGTATATTTGTTTAAGGGGATAAAGCAACAAGCAGAATGGGCATGTTGTGGGACATGATATAATATATACATATATATATAATAGTGTGGTTGGAGACATTCGGGGATTGAGCATTTCTGACGGGGATTCAATACAGTCACAGTGATCCTTCATTGATAAAAGATGGCTAGGAAATCACTTTGTTGTGCACGCTTCACTTGGCAGGAGGAGGTTGGCCCCAAGCAAGCGGAACAAGAGCCTTAGCCGCAGGATTTGTTTTACGTTCAAGACTCTGGGCAAAATAGAGTCAAGCACAAATTTGAAGAATTCATTGCAGTCACTGTCTTTGCCAAACATATTTGATCCACATTTTGCGAAATTGCACGGACATAAACACAGTCGCCAGTCCAATAGAAAGAATCTGCAGCGGCACTTCGACTGGATCAAGGTTGTTGTTCACTTGGTGATGAGGGTTTGCTTGGTGATGAGGGATGTAATATGATGATATGTTATGGTTTTTACCTATATATTATGATCAACATATTAGGATAACATCATATTGACGCCTATCATCACTAGATAACATGGTTTTCGCCTGTGTCCCTTGGTATCCCACCACGCCCACCACGCCTTTTAGGAGCTTTGGGACGCCCTGATGGCGAAGAATCGCCTGGCGCGCGCCCAGCGATCGTCGTCCACGTCGTCGACGCCGCGCTGGGGGGTGTTCGACAGCTGAGGCGATCTGCCTGGGGCGGAGATTGGCGCAGTCACGTCCCGACAAAAGAATGGTTTGGATGATATGTCATCTTTCTGGTCATTCTCATACCATTTGTCAGATCCTGTTGCTGTATTGCCACCTCTTGGTCACATGCCTACACAGCCTATAGCTCCAAGTGTTGCCAGTGATCCAAATTCACGCGATGAACCCATGCTCTTAGAGACTTAGAGTTGAATGGACAACTACCCCCCCCACCCCTGTTTTGTTTCATGGTTTCTCGCAATTACATGACCATGCTGCAAAGTGCTCAGGTACAGCAACTGAGTCATGCAGTGCTGGCCGTTTCACGTCACTGGCGCCCGGCTTCAGCAAAGCTGAAGCGGGGCAACTGGGAGGATCATGCCATGAAACCATATGAAACCATCATTTTCTGCAACACTTTCGAAGGCATCCCAACATCGCCAATTTCCGGAAGTATATGTCTGGACTGTGATAATGAACTTCCTTATCGTACAGAAATATCATGCATGCATGGTATTATTATTGTATTATTATGTGCTTACTATTCTGTTTCCCCTGAATATGGCAGCACCATGATTCCCAAGTCTCTGCGTGCTCTTTGTACAAAGCCACTGCAGTCAGAAATTCGGCGTCTGCAATCTGTTACATTTGGGGTGGCTCCCCTCAACTATTATCTACTGATAATTTGCATTAATTTGCTACTAAAGTGATATTCTACCAGTTGAACAACACGGGTTTATTAACCCGGGATTGACATAGTTTTTTTTTTCAATGTTGTATGCTGGACTATACATTACTACAAACTTATGTTAGGTTATCACACTGGGAACCGAACCTTTTCCTTCTAAGTTTGTCTAAGTCTAAGCCTATTCATGTGTGGGCCCTACAGAAAATACATATGTATTTGGGAGATGGGATTGCACCCCTCAAGACTAGTCCAGCAAGGAAACTACCTTCCAGTTCCCAGTTTTTTGACTTGTGGAGGTTAAAGTCTTCCCATAGATCGGTGGATGGCCACACTTGGGGTTCGGTAGCGGTAGCTGTTAAGGCCTGGTGTTCATTCGAGGTGGTCTCATAGTGTTCCTTACAAAGGGATTTTGCACAGCAACTTCTACATTCTACAGACAGAGAACCTGTCAAGGAGATCTTGCGCACGATCTTCTACAGAGATCTTCACAAAGGGAACTTGCAGAACCACCTGAATGAACACCATTTTTATCCATGCTTTATGATCCTTTGCACTTTTCCCTTAGGATCCTGACTGCACACTGTTTGCGGTCTCTTGCCGGGAGTGTTTTCTTTTGGTTTGTACGTTCAACTGGTATTTGATATGCCTGCAATGGTGGATCATTTCTTCTCCATGCTAGGGAAATTGTACTGTCATGCTACGGGGCCAATGGGGGTAGAAATTCACATTCTGAGTCTAGAAACATCCAATTGTCGTTTGAAGTAAGGGGCAACTTGTTTAAAGCGTCTTCTGGAGATAATCACGGGATCTTCACCATTTGTGGAACTGCACCATGATATCTCCACAAGAAGGGCACATCTGATAACCACCTTGAAACAGGTCAGGAGCGTCCCGAGGAAGACGTTTCTGCGGTCACATGTCGGCAGGGAATGCAAACACGGGAATGACTGGCCATGGGAAATCGCAAGAGATTCATGTGTGAATGGCCGACTTTTCATTGCCATGCTGTGGATGAGAAACGGGATAGGCTGGCTGGTGAATCAAAACTGAACCATGAATTGGTACCATGTTTGTTTGTTCATTTTTTGTTTTCTGCCTCAACCGTCAAAATATTCCGATGGCAAACATGCGCTTCTTGAGCCTTAAAATTCATGACTCTAAATGTAAAAGGTTCAGAGAGAGACAGGACATATATGATATAATATATGGAATTATGGCAAGCCCAACGCCAATGCCCAATTGCAATATGTTGAGCATTTTGTTGCATGAACTACTAAAGTGTTTAAAGCCCGGGCGCGGTCTACAACTTGGTGTGCTGCGTTCTACGTCGCCGTTTGTGGGTTTATTTCACTCGATGTCCCAAGAAAATGAAGGGGCCTCGGTGATACCAAGGAGATTCCGAAGGTGGTTCATGAGGAGTTGAACCGCATGGAAAGTGAGCTGAAAGAGCAAATCCGTGAGCTCCAGGAGGCTGGTAGCGCTGGCGTCAAGCGATCGGGTCATCGAGAGACTGTTTTCAGTACAGCCAAGTACCAACATCGTCATCTGATACTTCAGGTAGATGCGATGCTCAATTAAGACCTGAAATTTACTTTAAGCATTTTGAATGGTACGTTTTTTCCCCATTAATTCAGAGTAGATACCATTGTGGGTGCAGGAGGTGCGCAATTTGATTTTTGAGATGTGAGCCACTTGCAGCCACTTGGCAGCCACTTGCTGCAGCCACTGGAGCAAGTGTCTGCCAAGTGGCTGCCAAGTGGCTGCAAGTGGCTGACGGGGCAAGTGGCTGTAAGTGGCTGCAAGTGGCTGCCAAGTGGCTGCCAAGTGGCTGCCAAGTGGCTGCAAGTGGCTGCAAGTGGCAAGTGGCTGACGGGGCAAGTGGCTGACGGGGCAAGTGGCTGCCAAGTGGCCGCAAGGGGTTGCAAGTGGCTGACGGGGCAAGTGGCTTCGAGTGGCTGCAAGTGGCTGCAAGTGGCTGCCAAGCGGCTGCAAGTGGCTGCAAGTGGCTGACCGAGCAAGTGGCTGCAAGTGGCTGCAAGTGGCTGACATCTGGAAAATCAAAATGATGCACGTTTGCTCGGTCTCTGGTAGATACACAAATTCTATCTGCAACGAATTCGTTGCTAAGTCTGGACGTAAGGTGTACCCAGGGTCATGCTATGTCATGCCTCAGCAGGCCCTGCGTACTGCGCCACCTGCCGCGGAAAGCGTGGAGGTTGTGGAGGTCAAGACCCAGGAGACCCATCAGGCTCCGCAACGCGGCAACGCAGTTGGGATTCCTGGTCATCAAACGTGGCTGGCTGGAAAATCCCCGCATGAAACAGAGGTAGATGAGGTAGAGAGCTGGGAAGATAATAATTCATAAAATAGAATAATATGTTTTAAAATGGATGACAATGGTAAAATGGTCTATAAATTCAATCGCCATGTTTACCGAAGGGTAATCAGGATGATTCTACATGATTCTACCGTTTTGAATCCGTTTGATTTTGGGGCTGGTGTCTACAATTTGACAGGGAAGTGGAAGATGATGGTGAGATTGTAAATGTCATTCGCTTCCCCTAACTTTGGCCTATGTCCCAACTATATAAATGGCTTGGAAACTCAACAATGGGCTGATTTTCACCAACCAGCAGAAACATAAAAGGCCTCATGACAATTGAAAAACAAAACCATTATACCATACACAACAACTGGGATTTACATGGATTTACACTGTAATATGTTGTCATGTTTGCTTGCCCGAGGGTGCTTGCCCGGTATGACCCAAACGGATTGAGGGGCTGAACTCATGGTACGCAACGGCCGGACGGCCGAAATGGCCAGAAATCCACTTCCAGGGAGTTGAGCCTGGTAAACTTGACCCCATAAACTGGTAAACACCTGCACCGTAACAAACTGCAATATAGTTGGGTGTACTTGCGGTGCTTGCGTCCACCAGGGTTGTTGAGTCGGGATGATTGAGTCACACAGAATGTCCCTGTGATCTCCCAGTGTTTTGGTTCAATATCACTTGAGCCAACAGGAGGATGCGAGATTGATGGCGTTGGAGGTACAGATCTCTGAGCTCAAAGATAAGCTGGCAGCCTGGACCTAGAAGTCACTGGTGATGGGGGGGCCATTCATTATATAATGATATATTTAATCATATATGCCAAAATAGTGATGGTTGATTGTCCCGATTCATAAACCGCTGGGCCGTTGATCATGGGGTCCCGTGGGGTACCTCACGGGACCCGGGGTGCCACCGGGTTGCCATTTTAGTGTCAGATTATCACGATTTGGGGAATGCTTATAATTACCAGTCATACCGCACAAGGCGGTGGCGGAAGTTTCAAAAAGAGGAAACCTATAGGAGAGGTTGGTTGTTGTGAATCAGGGATGGCAAAGCGAACCCACTGATGGACCGAAAGGTGCTTGAGGTCTCCTCTTTGTCTCTCTCTTTCTCTGACTATCTACTTACCTACCAGCCTATCTTCTATGTATCTATCTATCTATCGATCTATCTATCTCTCTCTTTCTCTCTTTCATCTAATTACCTATCTAAACCTATCTACCTATCTA